TCCAGCTCTTTTTCTTATAAATCACAGTCGGTTTATTCTAATTTTTTATAACACCAAGGTGCCTATTTCTGCCACAAATTCTACCACTATAATAGAGAGCATTTTTGTTCTACTCACTATATGGTAGCCGCATGCTCATTGGATAAGGTGTTCTTGGACCTCCATGACAGAACTGACTTCTGTGCTACCTCTGTGGTTCCAGAGAGGATGATTTTCTCCTCTCTTCTAAGAAAACAACAGGATTTCTTATGGAAAGCTCAGTAAGACTAACACACAGTCACCAACACAGGAAGGCCTTGTGGGAGGTGTGGGAACTGACTAATTGGTTCTGTCTTCTGGTCCTTTGGTGCCTGCCTAGCAGATGGCAGTCACAGTTGCCTATTACAGAGAAGCTCATTACCACCTTGACTAAGTGGGAAATGGAATCCTGCTGTAGTTAAAGAAGAAAGGACTCGGAGCTTCTTCTAGGTTCTCATCCTTCATACAACATGAAAATAAGCTTTCTTGCCTGGGATGTAACAGGCAATCTGGACTGGCTGAATTTGTTCCAAAAACCAATTGCCAATAAAGATTTTGTTAATGTGGATGAGCGTGGTGTGTGTAAAACTCTTTTCCAAATTACAGATTAAATTTGAAGAGCATCGTTAGTAGGAGGTAAGTAAAGCCGAAAATGTTAAGAGAATCAATCATTCCATTATGTGAGAACAGTAAAAGATCTTAGAAATCAACAAGTAAAAACCTGCATTTCACAAATGAATAATAAGAAGTCTAGATAGTTTAAGTGATTTGTCTCTAATTGCCCCAAATACACCATATATATATACTCTCTGAGTCCCAGCTCTAAAATATTTTGCCTTCAAATAGATCCCTTAAAAGTAAGTTTTTGAAAATTAAGGAATGTTATTGGTATTATTTCCTAGAAGCAAGTGCACTGGCTTCTCTTACAAAATAAAACAAACAAACAAACAAAAAACAGTGACTGTGACCAGTAATAAACTCTAGAGCACATTTTCAAAAATAAAATTAGAGGGTGCATTTTGCACGTAGCGATATGTAAATGAGCATGTTAATACTTAAATTTTAGTCACTCTCAGCGTTGATTGACATAGTGTGTGTTCTTTTCAAAGTCCTTTCACATGCTTTATATTGTTGTTCATGGTAATTCTGTGAGGTATGTGAAAGCAATCATGTCATTACCGTTTTATAGATGAACAGACATATGTCAAGGGCATTTCCACTTGATCTTCATTGACAGTTCTGATTCAATATGCTCAAAGCAGAACTTTGGAATTTATCTTACAGAATGGTCCCAGTTGGACCAGAAAGGAACCTTTCTCATTCTACTTTTTTAAAATTATTTTATTATTATTGTTATTGTTGTTGTTGTTGTTGCTGTTTATTTACAAATTCTAATACATTGTTTTCCAGAACAGATTCTTCCAATTTCCCTCACCCCTCCTCCATGAAATTATACAACGCCGCCATGATTAATCCTCCACCCCGTGCACATCCTCATCCTTCTGCTTCCACTCCCCCACCTTGGATCTTTATACTCATTCTACAGCAAATGGTTTTCTACAATATTTTTATTTGTGGGACTGAATTATTTGACTTGGCGTAATGCTTTCCAGGCCCTCCCAAGTTAGGTAGTAATTTACAAAATCATTTCTCCTGTGTGTTACTTAATATTCCATTGTGTGAGTGTACCATAATTTCTCAACCTACTCTTGAACTCCAATTAATAGAATTGTTTAAATTCCATATCCTTCCACTCAAAAGTTCTATTTTCTGGATATCATTCTATAGCATGACAACATTCTAGTCTCTTAAACTGAATGACAACTGTAAGAAAACCATCATTTAATAGCTCTGGGAATGGTCCTATTAACATGAAAAATAAGTGAATAAATAATTAACCAGCATCATCTATGAAATGGATGTTTCCAAATTACTGAGGCGTAGTAATGTCAGTTTGAGGACTAAAGTGTCTCTGATTCAGGCCACAGTCTTTTTCCAATTACTAGCTATATATTCAAGACCTGGACAATGAATAAGGATGACAGAAAAAGAATTGGCGCCTTTGAGCTGTGGTGTTGGAGCAGAGTACTGAACATGCCATGGATGGACAAGAGAACAAACAGATATGTCTTGGAGAGGGTGTAGCCCGAGTGCTCTTTGGAAACAAGGATGATGAAGCTTCACTGCACATATGTTAGACATGTTGCTAGGAGGTGCTATTCCTTTGAGAGGGACATGATGTTGGGAAGGGTGGAGAGTCAGCGAAGAAGAGGAAGTTCCTCAACCAGGTAGATTGACCCGGTGGCTGCTGCAATGGGCTGTTGTGTGTCAGGAAGTGTGAGAATGATGCAGGAAAGACAAGGTTCAGATCTTTTGGTCATAGGGTCGCTATGAGTCATGCTTGACTCAATGGCACCTAACAACAACCTTTGAACCAAGTCTAATTCCAACCTTCCTACTCAGAGCTCATTGAGGTTGACCTTCCATACCAGACATCCATAGCCAAGAATATATGTCCATTCTACCTAGTGTTGAAGTCCATTGCCCTTAGTATGAATTTGAGAGGTGGGATATCTCTCAATGAAGCTCACTGTTCATCTTCATGGAAATGGGTCTCTAGTTAAAGCAGCATGTTAATAACACTGGAACCCAACACACTATTTCACTGACTTGTAACAAGTTCGTTCAATGCCAAAGGAAGCAAATCAAATGATGCTAAAACGATGTCCTCTTCCCTGAAAGCTACTAAGTGTCTAATTCCTGGAATTGTAGGCTCTGTCATTGTCCCCACATATATCTATACAGACCCAGCTCAGAGGTTTTTGTCTGCAATGAGAAACAAGGAACACAATAGATAACTCCTAATCTATTCTCAAAAGAACAGAATTCAAGTCAAAAAAATTCTCTATAGTGGAGGTTATGGTGAAATTACATTGGGAGAAGAGGAGAGATGTGACTATTAAAAAGCTGACAGAATTCTTCCTATGCCCAGAACAAAAATCTAACACTACTCTTATTTACAAGAATGATTTCTATCCCAGGGAATTATGTCAAAAAATGGAGTGAACAACTGGGAATTGGTACTGCTGTTAGATGTCATCAAGTTGACTACGGTTTATAACTATCCTATGAACAACAGACCTGAAACCTGCCCTGTTCTGCACCATCCTCACAATCTCTGATACGTTCTACCCCATTGCTACAGTCACTGTGTCCATTCATTTTATGGGGAGTCTTCCTCTCTTTCACTGTCCCTCCAGTTTACCTAGTATGAGGATTTTTCCCAGGGACTGACCCCTCCTATCAATAGATACAAAGTACCTGAGACAAAGTTCCACTATCCTCCCCTTTAAGGAGCATTTTGGTTTCACTTCCTCCAAAACAAGCTTGTTTTTTATGGCAGTCTACCGGATATTCAGTACTCCAACATCACAAATCAAAGACATTTATTTTTATTCATGTGCTTTAATTTCTATTTATTTTCCAACTTTCAAATGCATTTGAAAAGAGCGTAGCTGGAATCAGGCTCAGCTTAGCCTTTAAATGAATTTTTGTTTGTTCATTAGCACTTTGGAGAGGTCCTGGACAACAGATTTTTGCAATGTAACATGTCTTTTGATTTTTTGGCTAATGGTACAATAGCTGTTGATTGAGGATCCAAGTAAAATCTTTTACAGCTTCAATATTTATGTTTTATTGAAATTGAGATGCAATCCATACTGAAGGTCGTTGTCTTTTGCTCTTCTGCAGCAAGGGTTTTAAGTCTTCTTCATTTTCAGCAAGCAAGTTTGTGTCATCTGCATTACTCCTTTAGTACTTTAAAAAATTCTAGATATACAAGGGTCTAATATCGAAAGTTTACAGAATCCTACAGGGCCTCCACAAGAAAACGACTGATAACACAATTACAAAATGGGCAAAATACATGGAAATACTTTTCACAGAAGATATTCAGATAGCCATCAGACACATGAAGAAATGTTCAAAATTACTGGCAATAAGAGAAATGCAAATCATAATCACAGTGGGACACCATATTACCGCAGTAGCAGTGGCACAGTTTAGTAGGGCAGAAAATAATAAATGTTGGAGTGGATGTAGAGAGATAGAAACTCTTATACATTGCTGATGGAATTGTAAAATGGTACAACAACTCTGAGAGGCAGTTTGGCATTTCCTCAGAAAGCTGAACATAGAAATTCCATATGACACATCTATTCCACTGCTTGCAACATGCTGTTGTTGCTATGTGCCATTGAGTCACTTGTGACTCATAGCAACCCTATGCACTAGAGCTCTAAATTCCGTTCTATTTTGTGCCAACCTAGCCATCCCAAATACATTCATTCCTCTCCAGTCATAGAATCGATCCATCTCATCGAAGGTCTTCCTCTCCTCTGCCGCCCCACCACTCTGCCAAACATGATGTCCCTCTCCAAGGAACAGTCCCTCCTTGCAACATGCCCAAAATATGTCAGATGAAGTTTCAGAATCTTTGACTCAAAGGAGCATTCCGGCTTCACCTTCTCCAGGCCAAACCTGTTTGTTCTCCTAGCAGTCCAGGATATAGTCAACACTCTTCTCCAGCACCACAGCTCAAAGGCATCAGTTCTCTTTCTATAATCCTTATTCACTGTCCGACTCTCTGATGCATAGCACGTAAGTGCAAAGACTTAGTCTTAGCACCTTAGTCGCCAGTCTGACATCTTTGCTCTTCAGTACTCTTGAGAGGTCACTCACAGGCGACTTTCCCAATGCAATTCGTCTCTTGATTTCCTGGCTGCTGTTACCAAGAGTGTTGACTGTGGAGCCAAGTAAATTAAAACTGTTAACTATCTCAATCTCTTCACCATCCATACTAATGCTACCAATTGGCCCAGTGGTTAGAATCTTTGTTTTCTTGATGTAGAGCTTCAGTCCATATAGGAGGTTGTAGTCCTTGATCTTCTGCAGTAAATGCTTCTGGTCCTCCTCAGTTTCAGCAAGCAGAGTTGTGTCATCGGCATAAAGCAGGCTGTTGATGATTCTTCCACCAATCCTGATGCCACATTCCTCTTCGTATAGCCCAGAGTCTTGGATGATCTGTTCTGCATACATATTGAAAATGTATGGAGACAGAATACATCCCTGACGAAACACAAGGAAACATTGCATGGCTCAAAATTAGGAAAGAAGTGCATCGGGAATGTGTATTGTCTTCATGCCTTCACAATCTATATACATAACAAATCATAAAGGAGGCTGGACTTTATGATGAGGAATGTGGCATCAGAATTGGGAGAAGACACATCAACAACTTACAGTATGCAGATGACACAGCCTTGCTCACCGAAACTGAAGATGACCTAAAATGTTTGCTGCAGAAGTTCAAGGACAGCAGTCTACAATATGGATTGACAATTAACATCAAGAAAACAAAGATTATTACCACTGGATCAATTGACAGCATCTTGATAGACAGAGGAAATATCGACATTGTTAACAATTTCAGCTGGCTTAGCTCCACAATCAACTAGCACTAGCACTCAGGAAATCAAAGATTAATAATTGTTTTGGAAAAATCAGCTGTGAGGGATCTCTCCAGAGTGCTGAAAAGCAAGGATGTCAGTCTAGAGACTAAGGTGAGCCTGATCCATGGCCTTCACAATTACTTGCTATGTGTAAGAGAGTTGGACAATGAATAAGAGTTATAAAAGAACCACAAGCTTTAAGTTGCTGTTCTGGAGAAGAGTATTGAAGGTACCATAGACTGCCAAGAGAGCAAATAGGTCTGTCCTGGAGAGGGATAATGAAACCAAATTACTTCTTGGAGGCAAGGATTGATTTTGAAGCTCCATCTCACATACTTTGATCATGTTACCAGGAGGGACCAGTCTTTGGAGAAGGACATCATGCTTGGAAAAATGAACTGTCTCTGGATAAGATGAAGACTCTGGATAAGAGAAATTGATATTGTAACTGGGGTATTGGGAGTAGGTGTGTTAGAGGTATTGAGATTGGATCAGGACAGGGCAGGGTTTATAGCTTTCGTGCATATAGTCACTATGAGTCATAAGCAACTTGACAGCACATAACAACAACAGGTGGAGATATATTAAGATTGCAATATAATAATCTGTAAAGTTTGCTAATGAGTATCTTTTATTATTCTCCTTACAGATGCCTACATTTTTAGTTTTCCATAGTAAGTACTTAAAATATGAAGTTGTACATTTGCAAAACCACATTTCAATTATCTGTAGTACTTCTCCTTTGAATTTGTGGAAATGTGTATTAAGATGACTTCTTTGCATAAAATAATTTTGGAAATAATAACGTTTTCTAATTTCACACTTCCTAAAAATTCCTGTTCAAGTTTTTATATTCAGTCTTTCTCATTGTACCTTCACTATTACTAAGGTTTCTTTTTAAGTCATTTAATGTTTCCTAGAACATATTAAGACTTTGGTGTAAGTTTTTGGAAAACAGAACTTTTTAAATTTGCACTTTTTTGCTATCTCTGGATTTTCTTCCAATCTTCAGCTCTCTGTTGTGCAAAAGGCCATTTGTTGTGTTCATTTGTCTGTGTAAGAGTATTCATGCATTCCACTAAGTCATTTTATTTATAAGCAGTTTTTAAGAGACTTGTTTTCATTTCTAGCACTTGCATATTTCAGCAATCCAAAAAAAGCTACTAAATATGTTTTAAATTTCTCTGCTTCATTTATACCAATTCTTTTAGGTAAACATCATAGAACTCGCATTGATTGAACTCATTTCAAACTATTGTGTCTCATCCAAACAGTTATTTCTTTCTAGAGGTTTTTTTAGTCTAAAGTAAATCAATGAGAGAAACATGTATCAGAAACTTTGTAGCCATTCTGAGATGTCTCTTTCAACTTTAGAAACTTGTGAGGTGACTCTTAACCAACAGTTTCTCATTTATCTTCTTTGACATTGGAGGTATACTCTTTATGTTTGAAAAACAATAGTAAGTTATGATTTATATCAGCACGCGGAGAATCCAAAAGTGAGCATGGACTTGGCCTGAACAAAACATCATCAGCATCTATGACACTTAGTTTCCTCATTCACTCAACAGATTGAGCTATATTCATGCTGTGAGTCAGCGGTGCACAGGACAGAGCCATAGGCCACATGGAGTTCATACATTATCAGTAGGAGGCTCACAAAAGTAACTAACAAATGAAAATTGTTATTGTTCTATTTGCCATCTAGCCAGAACCAACTCAGAGTGAACCCACTAAGCAGTTTTTCTCAGGCTGTAAACTGCTTGGGAGAAGGTTGTTCATCTTTCTCCCATAGAATACAGATGGAGTCGTAAAAACTGAGTTGGGAGCACAACTTCTTACCATCAGGCCACTAGAACTCCTTAAATGCAAAATAGAGATTTTATAATTCAAAAGATATGTTAAATAAATTATGAAAGTCATTCCTCATAGCATTTCTTTCCCCATTCTCTAGATGAGAACCTAAAATTTAGTCTGTCAAGTCAAGGTCAGGATATCTATGAAGGCAGGAGTCAGTCTTGTCTTGTTTACCTCTATTTTCAGTTCCAAGGATAAAAGCACATAACAGCTCGTGGTGTTTAAATTAGAATAAAATGGGCTAAAGAATATTTTGAGAGGAGGAAAGAACACGTTGATACTTTTGAAATAATAAAGTATTGATGAGTAGTATTTCCTTAGAATACCATAAGAACTATAATAATTCTCAGAGGTAAGACATTGTTTATACGTGACTGAAAATTGAAATATTTTTATATTGAAAATTATCTTTCAGACTGAAATTACTCTGTAAATATTGAATCAGTCTCTTTCTGCTCCTTGCTCTAATTTGTCTTGGTTTCTTTCCCATTCTTAATAGGCAAATATCCACTGTAGTTCTGTACCAACTGGAGACCAATCCCTATCCTACATCCATGGTCTCCCCAGAAGAAACCTTAGAGACTGGTCCTTGGAACAGATGCTTAAGAATGGCTCTGACCAACCTGAGGTGTGTGTAGTAAGAGATTTCTCTTTTATTATTATTAATTGTAAGCTGTCTATTGTAATGAATAGAGAGTATGAATGAAGATATACTGGATACTAGATTCGTTTCATGACTGTATCTGTCTATCCGGCTACTTTTCCGAGAAGCTTCCTCTAAGGAGTCTGCAGGCAAACTCTGCATGTCTCAGCAGAACTTTCCGCCTTCTTTCTCCTTTTTTTTCCTTTTTTTTTTAATCAAGGGCTCATATACTCCTGAAGACCATGCTGCTTCTAGTTACCTGGGTAAGGATCTGAGGCATCTAGGAGCACTTTGGTCCTCTCTGAGTCATCCTTGATCAAACCCCCACTCCCATCTCTAGTCCTATGCTTCTCTGAGACTGGCTATTAAAAACCACATGCAATTACACGAACTACGTTTAAAAATTGAATTATAGCAGAGTAGACTAGTCCACTTGCCATAGAGGCATTTCTAATTCATGGTGATGCATTTATGTGAGAACAGAACTTTAGTCCATAGAGTTTTTAATAGTTGAAGGTTTGGAAATACATAGCTACCTAGGCCGTTCTACTATCTTCTACCAGTTCATTGCATATCTGATAATTGTGATGCAGTAGGTACTCTAAAAGTTTCCTTTCTTTCTTTTCCTAAGGGGAAGTTTAAGTCATTAAAACTAATGAAACAGAATGAATACTTATCTTAACGTGTTACCAAATTTTCTTATTATAGGTCAAGTCTGAATGTAAATGTATTTCTATCAGCCCCAGTACTTCTTGCATTGATCTTTAGCCATTTCAATTTAGAGCCATTTGTGTTGATTTTATTCATTTATTGGTTTTGTCAGGATTTTAGCCAAAGACCAAGTAGAACAGCACAAGAAGACACTTTTCTTCTTTCCCTGATCAGAAGAGAACTCAAGGCATGCCCTTTGAGTGCCAACCTATTAGACAAGATTGAGAATGAGCTGAAGATCCTGGACCCTGTATCTTCAGGTTATCTTCTACAATCTCAGCTAAGCCATCTCTTCTTGAGAAATGAAGTCCCTCTGAAGTTACCAACAATCAAGATACTATGCCAAAGATTTTCAAGGAGGAGTTCTCCTGAAATGGTAAGGTCATCAAGCTGTTTTATTTTTTAGTTTATTTTGTTGATCTTACTTACACACTGTTGTTGTTGTTGTTGTTGTTGTGTGCCAGTGAGTCTCCTGCAAGTCATAGCAACCCCATGCACACCAGCTCTGAAACCTGCTCTACCCTGAGCCAGTCACACTGACTCCAACACTCCTACCTCCATTATCCCAGTCACTGTGTCAATCCATCTCATCCAAGATCACTTCTCCTGCACTATCCCTCCACCCTTCCAACCATGATGCCTTTCTCCAAGTACTGGTTCTGCTTGGCAATGTGCCCAAGTATTTGAGACAAAGCTTCAAGATCCTTGCCTCCATGGAGAAACTTGGATTCACCCTTTCTGAGATAGACCTGTTTGTTCTCTTAATGGCACATGATATTTTCAATACTCTTCTCCAACACCAAAACTCAAAGACATCAATTCTTCTGTCATCTTTTGTCATTGCACATCTCTCCGATGCATAGAAGGTAATTACAAATATTATGTCCTGGACCAGGTTCACCATAGTTTCTAAACTGACATGATTACTCTTTGGTACTTTGGTGACGTCCCTGACAGCAGACTTCCTCAGAGAAATTTATCTTTTGATTTCCTGACTGCTGGTGCCAAGAGTGTTGATTGTGGAGCCAAGCAAGCTGAAGTTCTTAACTCAATCCCTTGTCTATCTTTCATGGTGCTGTCAGTTGGCCAAGTGGTGAGAATCTTTGTCTTCTTGATGTTGAGTTCCAATCCACATTGAAGTCTACAGGCCTTGACTTTCTGCAGCAAATGTTTCAGGTCCTCTTCAGTTTCTGCAAGTAGGGTTGTGTCATCCCCAATACTGATGTCACATTCTTCCTCATAAAATCCAGCCACCAGAATGATCTGTTCCATATATAAATTGAAAAAGTACGGAGTTAGAACACAGCCCTAATGCAATTCTTTTCTGATTTTGAACAATGCAATGTTTCCTTGCTCTGTTCTGACAACTTATTTCTGGTTCAAGTATCGGTTTCACATAAGCACAATCAAGTGTTCTGAGATTCCCATTCTTCTCAAGGTTAGCCACAATTTGTTGTGATCGACACAGTTTGCATAATCAGTTAAAAACAAATAGACAATCCTCTAATACTCTGCTTTTTACCATGATCCATATACTTTGGTGATAATGTCTCTAGTGCCACAACATCTTTTTGACCTAGCTTGTATTTCTGGTAATTCTCTGTTGATGTACTTTTCCAGTCTTTTTTTTTTTAATAATCTTCAGCAAGATTTTGCTTGCATGTGATATTAATGATTTGTTGTTGGTGGTGGTGTTGTTATGTGCCATTGAGTCTCTTGCAACTCATAGCAACCCTATGTACAATAGCTCTAAACTCTGCTCTGTCCTGTGCCAATCGCACTGTCTCTGATACACCCATCCCGATTATCCCAGTCACTGAATCAATCCACCTCATAGACGACCTTCCCCTCCTGCACTGTCCCTCCACCCTACCAAGTATGATGTCCCTCTCCAAGGACCGGTC